ATAAACTCAATGAGAGAAAAAAATAAAAATAAAACAGCTTCCTCCTGGGTCTAGCTGGACAGCAGCAGGAGACACGATCTGTTAGAAACAATAATTTGGTATCTCCACTTACATTTTCAAAGTCCTTCATGTTCCGCGCTCTGGTGGGAGACACCTGTTCTTCTGACACAGTTGGGAGCACTATAAAAAGGCAAATCAGACAAAGGCAAACGTCACAGCACACAAACTGCCCAACATTCCTACCAGGGACTGACTACACCTGAGAAGAGAAAACCTAAGGAGCTTCCACAGTGTACCCTGTTGACATTTTCAGCCTGTTGTGATGTACTGATTTGAGGCCAGAAAAAGCTCTAAGCCATTTTATTTCAAATGCTGATGAATTACTTAAACCAGCCCCAGTGTAAACGTGTGTGTCAAAAGATGAACCAAGAAAATGCTTTGGGCATGTGGCAAAACAGATTGTCCTGAAAGGTGCTTCCTCATCTTCACCTGTCAGTAATTGAAACAAAGCATGTCTAACTGACTTGACGCAAGAGTTGGCAAACTTCTTGAAACACCAGACAGTTCATACTTCAGGCTTTACAGGCCACACACAAAGCCTGAAATCTGTCACCAACTACTCAGCTCCTCTGCTGCAGCACAAAAACAGCCACAGCCAACTCAAACAAAGTGGCCGTGTTCCAACAAAATTTTACTCCCCAAAGCAGACAGTGGGCAGGCAACTGGGGACCCCTGTGGTGAGTAAAAACTGCCAGTACCAATCTCTCCACAGCTTCCTTAATTCAATAAACATTTATAAGACATCTGCTCTGCACCAAGCACCATTCTGTGTGCTGGGCAAACAATGGTGAACGAGACACTGATCCTTCCCAATCAAGTGGGCAAGACAGAGAAGGAAACCAACCATTATCACACCTATCAGAGTACCTGGTGCTTTGTAGATATTAAGTAAGTATGTGTGGAGTGAATGAACTCATTCCAGCAACAAAGCTACACTGAGAGCCTACTTTCTGCCAGGCAGCTTTCTGTTTGTGGCTGCATCAGGAAAGAAATGGAGCTTCTATCCTAAAGGGAGGAGACAGGCAATAAACAAAATAATGGGGCAACTACATAATACATTCAAAGGTAAAAATGTTATGGAGAAAAATAAAGTGGCTACAGATGGGAAACCCAGGAGTGGGGAGGGGATTGCAATTTTAAATAAGGTCATTAAGGATGGTCTCACTGAGAATGCCACTGTGCAGGCTGGAAGGGAAGCAGCCAGTTACTTGGGGAGGAACCCTCAGGTACAGGGAGAATCCCGGGAGGGAGCATGCCCAGTGGATCTGAGGAACAGGCAATGGCTAGAGAGCAACAAAGTAGAAGAGGAACTAAGGGAGGCTCTGGAAGAAGGACTGCTTCTGGCCTTGTAGGTTCTCCTAAGGACTGCGTAGCCACTGGAGGATTCTGAGCTAGGGAGTACCAGGAGCAGACTCACATTGCTCCAGGCTCCCTCTGGCTGCCCTGCTGAAAACAGACTATAAGGAGCTTAGGAGAGAAACAAAAGGACCAGTCAGGATAATAATGGGATAATCCAGGCTAAAGATCTAGATGTTTAAACTGCTTGTAAGAGTGTAAGTGGATGATGGGGCCGGGGATTTAGCTCAGTGGTTCTGCCACCTGCCTCGCAAGCGCAAGGTCCTGAGTTCGATCCCCAGTACCAAAAAAAAAAAGAGTGTAAGTGGGTGAGAACTGGTTTGATTCTGGATATGTTAAAAGTAACCAACTGGGCTAAGTCCTAAAGAGGCAGGAGGCAGGCAGGAGGCTGATGTAGGACAAGTGGCCCAGACAAAAGTACAAGGTGGAACTGGGCATGAAAGAGGCTGAGGAAAGGGCTGGGCAGACTGTGCAAAGCCCCGTACACCAGGATGAAGGCACAGAGGATTTCACATTCCTTAATTCTTCTGTCCCCTGATCTGTCACCTGAGATGCTTGCCCTCTCCTTTTTTCCTACCTAGGTCTTACTTCAAGTCTCAGCTCTAACAGCAGTTTCTCAGGAAACTCTCGCCAGACTCATACCAGGTAAATCTCTCTTATCCCTGGTCACAGCGCCTAACCCTTCTTCCCTCCGGACACTGACCACATGCTTTCTCATAATTTGTGTCTGTGTTCTCAGCTCAAAGGTAATGACGTACAAAGGTGAATCCTAGTGCTAAGCCGAGTGTAGCCTGAAAGAGATGTATAAAAACTTAGTTTTTAAAATACTGCTTTGGAGACGAGGAAAAGAAAAACACAAGTCAAAATATCTCTAAGATATTTCAACAAGGCTAATTATTAGCACTACCCACACCTGCTCTTAGGAAAGCATCCGTTTGTTCTCACAATGAAAATTATGAGGCATGCTTAGCCAGACCCAAACTGCAAAGTCTCCTTATAATCCGGCTTAAACACAATACACTGCTTATTTACTCAGCGACATCTCCTGTGGTCTCAGCAGCTATTTGTACAAAGGGCAGGCCCATGTAGGAATGCTGGACCTCAGCCGGTAAATGGAATCCAGCAGCCTGCCAGGAAGGCCTTGGCACACAAAAGTCCAAACAGCAGTTCTCCTGGGCCTCCGGCACTCGGCAGTGGAGACCAACAGAAGCCTCAAGCTGGGTCTACTCACTGATTCAATGTTGGTCTCCCCAAAGTCATTAGGTTCAGCAAATAATGGCTGCACCCTATGGGCTTGGCAGCAGGTAAAAAACAGCTATGAAGTATAGTCTGTTAATTGGTCTAGTCCAGTGTTTGTGAAATAAGGTGGAGAGCAAATCAGTACTACATGGAACATAAAATGCTCAGCACCCACTGTGCGCTGGGACAGGGAGACTCCGGGCACTCAGTCTGGAAGCCCAGTCCCAGGCCTCAAGGTGCTCACAATGTAGGGCCTACTCCCCTTGTTCACCCTCAAGAGAATGCCCAGCTCTGTGTACTTACCTCCATTTCCCAAACCAGCACCAGTGATGCCATCCCGGTCATCTGGTGAAGGGGCAACAAGGCCACTAGGAGAGAACACACAGGATAAGAGATCAGGTTGGCTTTGAACAACAGAGAGAGCTAAGAACGCCTGGACTGCTGGTGATACCAGCAGGCCATGGCCATGTAGGCCACACAGCTGAGCTACCTGGGAGTCAGGAAATACAGAACTTAAGAACTCAGGCTTTGGGTTTGAATCTGGCTTTTGGACTAAATCTCAGCTCCAACACTCAGTAGCTGGTGGCCTGCAGCATACCCACTCACTCACTCACTCACTCATTCATTCATACAGCAAATGTTCCACTTGCCAAATATGTGCCAGGTGCAGAGGCCCTGTAACAAGTACAAGCTACTGAGGCTTCTGAGTCTCACATAATTCTCTGTCAGATGAGGATATCACATTAATGAATATAAATGAGTTAATGTATAAAAACACCTAGCACATAGTAAGAGTTAAATAAGTGACACGTGTTACTATGGTCATCATTACTGTTATTATTACTATAGCGACACAATCAAAAGTTTTATGAATGTCAAACAAAAATGCAGAATCCGCTGATCCATGAAGTTGTACTGGTTGCATTATATAAAGAGGTATAGTGTAGATTTCGAGACACTAACAGAAAAGTAAACCACAACAGGTGATATGATTTAACACAACAGACACTGCCCAAGATTCTATCCTAAGCTCTGATGTAGCTCTCCAAGCCTCACTTCTTCAGCTGAGAAGGGAGAATAGCAGCTATTTCATAGAGTCACTGGCAACCAAACAGGAAGTGCTCAGCATATCTCTCAGATTGTGGGCACTACATAAATGGGAGCAAAATATTGCTATCACTGTGAAACATACTGTGCTTTATAATTTATAAAATACTTATCACCTTAGAACTGCCCGAGTCTCTGAGGGTCCGTGTATTTTTCAAAAGAAGGCTCTGAAGTGCAGACAATTTCAGTGCCCTAGCCAGAGTTACATGGCAGTAGAAAACCCCAGAGCAGAACCTAACCCCCAAGAATAGCTCTCTGTTCCAACCTGTAAACCAGGAGGTGATGAATGCTCAGCATCACTTACTGGCAGTTTGCTCTTTTCTGCTTCTAAATCCAAAAGCATTGTGCTCCTTGGACAATTCTGCCTAATGACCAAACTCCAAAGGCAGAATGTGACCTTCGGCTTTCAATCAATCAAAAAACTGGATAACCCCTAAAAGTTCAACATCAGGAAAATGATGATATAGAATGAGTGTGCTGCAACAATAACTGGAGGTGGGGGATACAGCTCAGAGCAGAGTGGTCGCCTGGCATATGTGAGGATTTGAGCCCTAATACCATACACACAAAAAAACATAACTGGAAAAATTTAAATAAAGTATTCCTTAAACATGAAAAATATATAAACATGTACACTAAAATCACCCCAAATCCTTTTTTGGAACTAGCTGGGCCATAAATACATAATAAGACAAAGGAAATATACTATTTACAATCACGTACAGGGAAATGAGATATGTTTTTCTACTATTTCATTTTCTGTAATTTTCAATTTCTTCCCATAAGCATCACTCCAAGGACAAAGTTCAACCTTTAAAACTGAATTTTAAAAATTAAAAGCCAACTTCAAACACTACCTTTGCAAATGATGGCTCACAGACCCAAGATCACAAACCAGGTTATTGGCCAAGCTCAGCCCCAAAGTCCAGTCTTACATTCTTAAAATGGGGTTTTCTCCACTACAGCCATTACATGAACTTCCACAGGCTGAAATGGCCCACCCACAGTCAATTACACCTAAAAACTACCTGGCAGGCAAAGCCAAAGATTTCAGTCTTACACAGCTTCAGACAGGCAATAACTGAAGTTGCCAGATTCCCACTTAGGCTTTACCTGCCCACTCTTTTGTTTGTATCAGGGATCGAACTCAGGAACTTGCACTTTGCAGGACAGACATGGTGCCACTGGGCTAAATCCCCAACCCCCTACCCACTGTTAAGTGTTCCGTATCTCTGTCATCTGCATGGCTCAGTCAGTTCTGCCTGCCCACACCTCTAGACCAAGCAGCTCTCTTCCCATTCTGATCACTCAGTCTTAGCCTCAGAAGGAAGATGGAGTCCCCTAACATTTTACTCCAGGGGGCAGGAGTGGCAGTGAGGACTGAACAGACACAGACAGAGCACTTCCATGACAAGTGCTGTGTGTCAGCTGTTTGCTGAGCGAATGAATGGTCTCACCTGAGCTTCATGACCATGGTCTCCTATCTGGCACCACTGCTGCCCTAAAGAAGCAATGTCTTTCCATGTTTATATCTGTCAGTCACAACTGTCCTTCCACACCACAAAACCAACAAGAGCCACATGTTCCACTGAGAGTGTTACAAGACTCATGGATGGATCTGGATATCAGATACATTAAACTACATCAATAAGTGCACTTTTGTTTGTCTTTTAACAATTCCTCTGCCTGCCTCGCAAGCACAAAGACCCGAGTTCAATCCCCAGTACCCCCCAAAAAATATTCCTCTTTCATGCTACTCTTAATTCATAGTTTCAATATTCATTTAAATTAGTAAAAAACATAAGGGCAAAAATTACAGATCTAAAGCTCTCCTAGATAACTCCTCAGTCCCCTCCTAAACAGTGACCACTGATGTGAGAAAGATGTCTCCTCCCAGACCTTATAGTCTCTATTTACTGACAGAGACATTTTATTTTTTACTTAAAAAGAAAACAAATGCAATCAAAGTATATATATCATTCTGTGACACATTTCCTCTAGTAAAGATGTGCCCTACAGTTGTCCTGATGACAGTGCAAATGGATCGGCTTCAATTTTTAGCTCCTACAAAGCATTCCATAACAGTGGTCCTTTTCAAATTTCACTGACTATGATGCATAAAAGAATTCCTTAATTCTTGAAATATATTATATTCTATTCTACTTTTGAAGTGTTCTGTTTTTCTTTCTGTTTGTTTGTTTGTTTTTGGGTACTGGGGATAGAACTCAGGATCTTGCACTTGCAAGGCAGGCAGTGATCTATTCTACTTTTTAAAAATCATTTGCAACCTAAGTCAAATTTCATGAGCTACCAGTGGGACACAGTCTGTGACATTCAATGTGTCTCCAAGTTTTTCTTTTATAAACAATGTTGTATGAAGCCAGGAGTGGTGGTGCACACATGTAATCCTAGCACTCAGGAGGCTGAGGCAGGATGATCTCCATGGGTTTGACGCCAGCCTGGGCTACAAAGTGAGTGTGAGGCCAACCTGAACTACACAGTGAGACATTGTCTTAAAAAACAAACAATGTTGTATGAATATCTTTTCATAGGCCTCACTGTGCACATGGCATGAGGTTTCTCTAGGGTAGACTCTAGGATAGATAACAAGAAATGGAATTGGTGAGTCAAACCATACTCACATTTTTTAAAACAAGCAAAGGGTCTGAATAAACATTTTCACCAAAAGGAAGAAAAAACATACAGATGGCTAATAAGCACATGAAATGATATTTAATATCATTAAGTCATTAGAGAAATGTAAATCAATTCTACAGTGAGATATCATGTCACACCTCCAAAGTCAGCTAAAATAAAAAAGACACACAAACTATTACAATTACTGGTATGGATGTGAAGAAAACTAAAAACCTTTGAACACTGCTGGTGGGAGAGACAAATAGTACAGCCACTTTGGAATATTCTGGCAGTTCCTCAAAATGTTAGAGTTAACCAACAATTCTACTCCTAGCTACATGCCTGAGACAAGTGAAAACACGTATCTACATGAAAAATTGTATAGAAGCAAATGTTCACATCATTCCTAACAGACAAAAAGTAGAAACAACCCAAATTCCCATCGATATGAATGAATGAATGAATGAACAAAATTTGGTAGATGAGTCAGGGCTTGTATCTAGAGGGCACCCTAAAGGCTCTTGCAGTCATGGGTAGGGCTTTTCAGAGGTGATTAGATCTAGGGTGCATGATTCTGAGATCAAGAGTGTGATACTAGGATTAAGGCTGCCCCACCTTGGATGTGAATGATACCCTAAGGGTGGGTAGCCTGGAAGGACATAAGGGACAGAAAGAGGGTCGCTACTTGAGGCTTGTCACCTGCTGCATATCTGCTACTTCTATGTCCTACTGCCCTCTGCCATCCCACCCTGCCTTGGAGCCAACCATCTATGGACTGAAACCTCTACCAACTGTGCGCTAAATAAACTTTTCCCCTTTAACTTTGGGTGTCGCATATTTTGTCTAATGGACAGCCTGGGCAACCAGAAAGACTGTCTTAAAATAAAAGGGGTATAGGTCAGTGTGAAGACCCTTCGTTCAATCCCTAGTAGCACTTAATTAGTTAATTAACAGGTTAAAAATAAAATAAAAAGGACTGGGATGTACTTCAGTGATAGGGAACTAGCTAATATGTATAAGACCGCGGGTTCAATCTGCAGTTCCAAAATGAAAAAATATTTTTAATAAATTTTATAAAACACTAAACGGTATACTTTAAAAGGGTTAGCTTCTTTATATCTTCTTTCTTTTCAATTACTGGAGATTGAGCCCAGGGCCTTCACACTGAGTTACAAACATAGCCCTATTTTAATTTTTTGAGTCAGGGTCTTGCTAAATTGCCCATGCTAGCTTTGAATCTGTGACCCTTTTGCCTCAGCCTCGAAGAGTACTGGGATTATAAATATGCACTACCACCACTGACTACAAATTACATCTTGATAAAACTATTTTTAAAAACATACATAGGCATAATTTCTGGTGCCAAGGATTAAACTTGAGACCTTGCGCTTCCGAGGCAGGCAGTGGAAACACTGAGCTATATCCCTGCCCATAAGCATAATTTTTAATGTTAACAGATAATGCCAAATTGTGTTCCAGAAACTCTATGCCAGTGGATATTCTGCATGCATAACTTTTCACAGTGATCACAAAGCAGTATTTCACTACTAAATATAGGGCCTATATCACATGGTCTTCATTCTTTCAAAACACTGAACAAAACCAATTAATTCAAGAAATATGT